TCACTGTTTTGAGGCAGGAACAGGTGCTGCTATGACCAGCCACACCACAGGGCTGGCTTTTTCCTCTTGCTGTAAGTGCTTTGTGGGCAAGGCAATTCTACTTCAGATTCAACAGGTCTAAGATATTCAAGACCTGAATTGGCACGAGGCATGCCCTAGGAGTGGTTTGGAGATAGCCACAGGAAGGACTGAGGGACTGTTATGCTTGTAAAGCTTATATATTTTCTGTGCTGTTAGGAGCGCCAGCCACTGGGGAGTTCTTTGTGCCTGGTGTACTCTTATCCTTCAGCTGATGATGAAGGAGGAAGAGGAGAGGGGACCCCGAAGTATTATTTTGTTTTGCTCTTGTATTTTTGTCAGTGATAAAAAGCAGAGATTGAGGCCAATCCCAAGAACATTAAATGGTACCCAGTTTTCTGTGTGCAAGCTATTTACAGCTCCAGTACAGCATACCTTGCTATTTCTTATTCAGGAATTGAGCCCATAAGCTTTGGCTGTATCCCATAATCAGTTGCTAATATCTTGCATTACGTATAGTCATATTATCAAGCACTACTGCACCACATCCAGCTCCCAGGAGCACTTGTAGATCACCTTAATTGTCCCTATAACTTGTGGCTTTTGGCCCTGACTCCATCCCAGGTGGCTTGGGGTGGATGGTGGTTGTTCCTTGGCGTGTGCTGGCAATGCACATACCGCTCAAGTCTTTCCTCATCCTGGACTTGCTCTGTGCATTGGAAAACATGATGGAGGGTCAATGGATACACAGTGGCTGCCTCTGGCCAGCTGCTGGTTGGGCCCTGCTTGGAGGGACAAGGATGGCACCGAAGGACACATGTTTTAGGCAAAATATAATTAACCTAGGTATGGATCTTGAAGCCACAAGACTGTACTGAAGGCAAGAGCTTAACAGGATTTTTACAAGGCGAAGACAGTTATGTGGATAATGACAATAGTCCATGGTTAAAGGAGTCAGGAAACCTTTCTCCTTTGCTGTTTTTAATTTTTCAAATGCACATTATGACCCCTTTATCTGTAAGGGCTTGAATCAACTGTGAACTGTCACTGTTAGGGGGGAAAAAACCCTCCCTTTAAGAGCAAGTTATTACATAGTAGATTGCTGCAAGTTTTCTGGTACTTTCCTCTGAAGCATCTTGTTGTAGCCAAGAAAGAGGAGCTGACCATGGGCAGAAATGCTTGTGTCTCCTTTTAGTTTCCAAAACCTGTTGGAGGCCCCAGACCTTGCTGGGAAAGGTGTTGGGAGTGAGGCCATGCGAAGGGAGAGCAGCTGCGAGGAAGGGCTGAGGCAGGGGAGGAGAACATGTGCACAAGCTTGCTTGTAGTTAGGAGATTTGAACTTTGAAGGAAGTTAATTAATAATGAAACTTCTGACTGAGTGATGCAGATTATAAAGACTGGCTTTGTCAGCAGGTGAAATTAATTACAGGCTCAGGCACAGGGAAAAGGGGGGGGGGAAGGATGCAGGGAGGGGGAGGCGTCACTGAAAGAAAGATGATAAACCTGGCTGCAGGCTGTTGCTGTGGTGATGGGAGGCAGTCACTGTGGTTGACAGCGGTGACACATTGAAGGCAGCAGGTACTTCTAATTACCCCCTCCACCAACCCAAGCAGGCAGCAACCCCTCCCAACTCGGGGCAGGAGATGCTCCTGTTTTCTCTTCACACTTTCTTCCTATCTGCTGCAGGTTGGATGTGCCTTTTCAGGATCCCCTCCTGCTCTGAAAGGAAAATCATGGGGTGACAGGAGGAAAGCTTTTCCTAATGTCACTTTAATAGCCTGGGAGCAGCCAGTGATTCAGCAGCATCCTCAGGAAGCCTGGACAATGCTGGCAAACTTTCAGAGAGCTGGTATCCAAAAAGCAGGGAAGGAGAAATCAAGTGCAGCTGGCCACAGCTTTTTGAGCAAGATCAGGGCCTGATGCATCTGGTCCAGATTGCAATGTTTTTGGGAATGCTTGTTGCAGCTGGCTAAATTTTGTGCTTTGGGGTAAGCAGCTGTCTGAAGATACCCTGCCATGGTCTGTGTGACCTGAAGGGAGTCACTGCAAGGGGAGCAAGAGAAGCAAAGGGAACATGAGAGCATCCCGACCCCCCCACGCGTTGCTGCTGCCAAAGCATGTGAACAAAAGTGTAGATCTGTATGAAATAAATCTGTAATTTTGAGCCCCTTTGCCTGAATTCACTGAGTTTGGCTGCAGTTGGAGGTGCTCCCTGCCTCTGGGTCTCTCGTGTCATGTTTTCTGGATGTTTGTTGAAGAAAAACACCTGGCTTCTAAAACAATTTTCTGCTTTTCATTTTTTTATGTATTAATTTCTTCTAAGGCTGATCTAAGCACTGGCTCTGTCCATACTTCTCCTGACTGCTTTATGCCCAGGGAGAGGGACTTGTGGAGCCATTGGCTCTTTTGGTCCCTCAAAGAGTGTCGTTCAGCACTGATCCCTCTGTCAGAGCTTCACTGGCACTGCCTCTCCAATAGCTGTTGGAGCACCTGCTGCAAAATGGAGAGGCTGAGAGGTCGGACTGCGCAGCCTGGAGAATAGAAGACAGGGTGATCTTCTCCATGTGTGTAAATACCTGATGGGGGGAGTAAAGGAGGCAGACAGATTCTTCACAGTGGTGCCTAGTGACATGGCAAGAGACAAGGGGCACAGCCTGAAACATGGGTTATTCCATTTAAATGTAAGAAAACATTTTTTTTTTTCACTGTGTAGATAGTAAAAACTGGAGCAGGTTGCCCAGAGAGGTTCTGGTGCTTCCATCCTTGGAGAAATTCAAAACCCAACTGGATGCGACGCTGAGCAGCGTGCTGTAGCTGATGCTACTTTGAGCAGGGGAGTTGACAAGGTGACCTCCAGAGGCTTCTCCCAACCTTAGCCATTCTATGGTTCTGTAATTCTGTGAAAGATGATGCTGAACAGATTTTGAAGTCTGGAAGAAAATTGCAGTCTTACCCGAAAAGCCTGTGGGAGAGCTAATGGAAACCTCTCCAATTGCTTTCCTGAGCTTTGGATCAGGTCATTAAAGAAATGTGTAAGAGAGAGAAAGGTGGAAAGGTGAAGTTGTGTTGTGTAGATCTCTGAGGGCAAGCATTTTATTCGTGCCCTTTTGGTGTATTCCTCTCAGAAAAGGCCTCCGGTTTTGAAGCCTACATTGAGGGTGGGCTCCATGTGCATTACTTCATACGGTGCTTAAGATTAACTTAGTGAGGGATAGCGATAACACGTTCTTGAAATCGCCTCATAGCATGATTGTCACAGTAGAGCTGGTCCCTGCTCTTGTCTGATTTTGCAACTGAAGGTAGCTCACTGAAAACCAGGTAGGGGAGAAGAGAAAGAATTAATAATCTTCCAGATCAGATTATGCAGGTTAGTCATGAATCACTGTCAGAGAATGAGTACAAAGGAAGAAACCATAGGTGTTGAGTGTTGTTCAGAAGTGACCAGTGGTACAGGCCACCATTTTGGATTCAGTTTTGCAAGGACAGAAAATGGGTGCACTCAGTGAGTTGTATTTTAAATTGATAATTTCTTGGTTCTGTTATTTTAAATAAAAAAAAAAGAATTTTGTGTGAAACTGGAAACTGAGCAGATAAGTTTGTGAGATATGTTAAAGTACCCAAGAAGGATGATTTTGCCAGAGGTTGGAGGTCCATTCTCATTAGATTCACATTACTGCTTTACAATGTGAACGCTGGAAAAATATCACAGAAATGTGCCCGCTTTTAAAGCTAAAACACTGTAAATGAGTTCTTGGATAACTATGTATCAGGTCTTATTAAGACTCCTTCAGGAGGAGAGGGATGGTGAAGAGGAGGCAGGTAGAGGTGTGGAGAGCACAGAAAAGGTCGCACAAATACACCATTTTTATCTCTTCTGTAATATATAAATGAAATGGCACTTGGTGAAATTAAAAGGCAACAAATTAAAAATAAATAGGAGGAAACAATTTTTAATGTAAAGTATAATTAGCCAATGTAGCTCATGGCTGCCAACTATTATAGAAGCAGATATTTTAGTAAGATTATCAACAAAGGATTCAAATGAATAAGCAAAGCATTTGCAGGGACACCAGTGTAGCTGAGAAAACAATTATAAGGGCTATCAATCCTTATGCTTTAGGGCATAAACAGATCACCAGCTGGGGTCAGAAACGCAATTTCCCCCCATGGAGACTGAATAACTTAATTAGGCATATTGTGGAGTTTTATCCAGCATGGGTTACTGCTGGAAGCAGAATAACAGATTAGATGGACCATTGACCTGCTCCAATATGGCAACTCTTTATATCCAACTTCCTCTCAGATGGGAAGAGGAAGACTTCTAGCCTCGTGTTGTACCCCCTTCCCAGAAGGGCAGTAATTACTAGATTGACAGATCCAGCTGTCTGTTTTGATTTAGATCCCTAGATCATAGAAATCTCTGGGACATTTGAATATAGGCCACCATGGAAATTTTCTTCCATGTATTTGGAAGATTCAATAAACCAACACAAGAGGACTGAGCACGTGCTTAACTATGGCAATGATTTGACTTGCATATACACCTTAGGCCTTTGTGCTACTTCTGCTTTCCCCTTTTGAAAAGAGTTTTGGCTTAATCAAGGAGTGGAGTAGTGAAGAACTGAGGGGGGAAAAAACATAAAAATGTAATAAATCAGCCTACCAGCAGTTGTTATTTCCCTTAATTTTCCTATTTTGCTACCCCAAGCCTAAAGCAAGCTTATCTTGGCCATGATGCTTTTACAGAAGTTTTCCTTGACTCTTTTCTACTTGGTTTGAGTGTGTCAGCATGATGGTGATTTTGTTAAACTGCGTTACCCTGGGGATGTACCAGCCGTGTGAGGATATGGACTGCCTTTCTGACAGGTGTAAAATCTTGCAGGTAAGCAGACTTTCTTCTTGTTGTGATGGTGCCTTAGTCCAAGTCACAAATTTTCATGCATGCTTTCCTTTAGCGTGTAGGCAGCACTTTTCCAGACAGAATGTCCCTGGAAGTAAGCTATCCTGTTGTAAAACACCAAGAGCTTGCTTTGAGGAGGGGGGTGGGGCAAGAGTCTACTTGTGACTATGCAATACACAACAGTTGTTAACCTTCCTGGTCTTGTGCATAAGCAGGGGTTTCCTGTCAGGGATATCTATAAGTTACATAGCTCAGAAGTAAGCCAGGGAGAAATAACTAAGGTTATAATACCCAGACAGGAGAGAATAGCAGACCCCAGTGCATTTGCTACTCTGTTGAGCATGGGTATTACAAGTCCTCAGATAATGTGGCATTCAGGATGCCCAAAAGAGGAAGAAAAAAAGGCATGCCAAGAAGGGCCATGGGTACATCCAGCCTATGAATGCACTAGCTGTGCTTGCTGCTTCCCCAAAGAGAAGGTGACGGCAAAGGTCATCATCTGTAGTGTTGCTGAGGCTGCAATGTTCTGATGTCTAAAGCCTACATCTGTGATTAGTATGTGCTGTCCAAGCTGTGTGTGAAGCTGCACTATGTCCTCAGCTGAACCATTTGCTGTGGGGTGATTAGGAATCCCTCCTTGGAGACCTTGGAAGGATGGTGTTTCCCTGTCCAGGTTTGTACCTGCTGGTGCTGAGCAAACACCTCCTTTCAACTTCAATTACGTCACCTGTGGGTTAAAAAACATAAAAGTCCCTTTTTGCTTACTTGAGCAGCAGGGAGCTGTGATACCAGGGCTGCATGGAAGAAGCTTTTCCAGCCATGCCTTTAACTCATTTTCAGAAACACTGAATTTCTTATGTTCTGCATTTTAAAGTCCAAGTCTGGGAGGGCTTATCAAACATGCTCTTGGGTTCCTGTTTGGCAGGTATTTGATGATTTCATCTTCATCTTCTTTGCCATGGAAATGGTCTTAAAGATGGTGGCCCTGGGGATTTTTGGCAAGAAGTGTTACCTTGGAGATACTTGGAACCGCCTGGATTTCTTCATTGTCATGGCTGGGTAGGTTGACTATTTCTGGTTTTATTTGTTCTGTGTTTGTTAGAGGCTTGCACGGAACAGGAAAACACTCCGAAGAGCTCAAAGATTAGTGGCAACAACAAATGTTTTTCCTTACATGTATCAAGCAGGGTTAAGCCCCTCATACTGATGGGAGGTGAAAGTATATCCTCATAAAGCTAATGGTACTACTCTTGATTTGCCATGATGTAACTGAAGGGAAGCTTCCACTCTGGTGCTACTCCAGTACATCTGCAGAGCTGGAATCAGACCTGCTGGGGCTAGCAGTCTGTGGAAGAAACAGTAGACAAGGTAGCTCAGCTCCACAGCAAATGTGCAGCTGTCTGTCTTGGACAACTTCAGCAGAGGGTTTTAATTTGTACTAGCTGAAGATCTAGCCCAGAAATGGTTTTTGTTTGTTTTTAGAATGTCTGACTCAAAGAAGTGTAACCTTTACCAGAACCAAGCTAGCTTCTCTGTTTCCAGCAGCAGTGTTTCAAAAGTAGGAATGTCATTTTTGTTACTCTGGGCTTTTTGTCTTTGTGTTGTACTGGCCTACCTACAGGTACTATTGGGACAAGTTGACATTTTAGTGTTTTTTACAACAAAGTTGCTATGGTGAAGCTCTGATTTCTGTATGTATGAAATGGAAGGCCTACTAGGATTTGACTATTGAATCACGGCAAAATGTCCATCTCTCATACCAGTGGGCAAGTGCTTTTTTTTGAATTTGTCCATTTTCAATTAGATTGCCTAGTAGTATAGCAAAAAATAAAAATGATCAGAAAAAACTGTAATATTGCTGTTCTCACAGCAAACAATTGAACTTTGTTTGTTTGTGGGTTTTTTTTTTTTTTTGAAGAAACCCTCACTTTCCTTTTTCTCCTTCCAGCAAGAAATTACCCACATTTTCTGTCACCTGGAAGTGCATATATTACTGACTGAGCCAGTAGTGAGTTTGAGCTCACTTTGCAGTTTTCTCCTGCAGTGTGTAGCAGCACTTTCTTTATATTTGCTTTTGACATAGTTCTTCTACAGCAAGACTTGAAAGTCATTCCCCCTGGAGGGGTGTATAATTGTTTGCTTTTGGGGGGAGCAGAGATTTTCAGACTCAGTTCATTTGTAAAAGTTTGAAGGCTGATTCTCGGCTAGCTTGTGCATGAAAGGAGGATGGGCAGATGAAAGCTGGACTTTTTCTGAATTAACACAACATGTATGAGATGAAAAGACCTTTCTTGTGGCTGAGCCTGCTGTGATTAGCATCTGATTTAAAATGGACTGGCATGGGCACTGTGAGTTCATCAGGAAAGGCTAAGTTAAAGCACCTGACACGTGGTGGTGAGAGAAGCCAGATCATAGTATGTTCTAGCCTGAGCTCCTGGTGGCAAAATTGCTGGTGACTGGATGCAGGGAAAGCGAGACCATGCCACAGCAACCTTTGAGGAGGAAAGGGAAAAACAGGTGTATTTCAAAGGGAGACCGTGGAGCCCATGGTTCTTCTCCATGTGGCTGATGTGCGGCAGTATGGTAAGAGGAAGGCTTTGCTCCACATGGGCACAGAATTAATGGTGTAGGGGGTCAAAGGCTTGGGAACTGGGGGGTCTCGCTCTGCCTGATGTCCCTGCAAGCATGGTATGTGAGTGGTGCTGTCTGGAGAGATTTAAGAAATCAGTGGGGCAATGCTAAATAAAAGAGGGTGAGCTGAAGTGCTTAATCCATGCAGAAAACAAATGAAATCCATGCTACCTAGATGAGAAGGAAGTAAACTCCATTTACATGTTTCCCTCTGTCACTGTTGCTGGCAGAAATTTGAGAGGAGAGAGTCTCTTCTGTGCACCTGATAGAAGTACTTGGGGAAAAAAAGCTTGTGTCTGAACTCCTTTCAATGCCAAGGAGACTCAGAATCAACTTCTTAGATATAAAATAATCAGTGTGGAGGATTTTTCATTTCAGGTCCAAAACTGAAAGAAATATTTCCTGATTTCTATACAATTGTTCTCATGAGGTGTCAGGCTGAAATGATAGTAATCTCATTAGAATATCTGATCTCAAAAGACTTCTGCTAAAGAAAGATTTTTTCCATTTAGTTATATAGAACTAATGACTATATAATGTATTTTGAGTTATAAAAGCTTGTGGTTATTAATTCATTATTCTTTGAAATTCATTAAAATTGTCTGCACTGCTTAAATCAAATCCAAGGCTCAAACTTGCCCTTGCATACAGGCTGTAGGCTTTTATTCAACCTCAGATTTAAGCCCCAGGCTTTATTCTGATTGATCCCACACCTGGATCACGGTTTCAGCTTACTCTGGGTCCAGATGCGGCCTTAGCCTTCTGACTAAGAGAAGTTGTCCTGCATTATGTCTTGTATGTTTTCTCCATGCTAGTGAGTTAGATACTGATGAGAGGCTAATGTGTTTTCTCTAAGGGCCTTCTCCTTTTCATGGTCCTGGACTCTCATTGCCTGTAAGGGATGTTATAAATTTGGCTCTCAATAAAACATCTGTGATGTTCAGAAGTATTACACTGCCTAGAAGACCTGCAGCTTCTCTCAACTTCAAGAATAAGGACTATACTTCCCAGTCCCTTCTCTTCCCTTCTCCCTTTCAAAATAAACACCAACAGGGCAGCAAACGTTGTAAGAATAAACTGTAGCATGGAAAAGCAAAGTGCGGGCAAGGGACCATTCTTTTTGGTGTTCCTGGGCAGCTGAGATACCTCCATCTGGCTAGCTGCATGACAGCATGTTTTATCAAAGAGCATAATGACTATTTGCTACTACTCCCCCAGATGATGTTTTGGTTACATAAACCATGTATTCAGACGTTCATTTGTAGTTTTCCCCTCACTTCCTTGGAAAGCCAGAAGGTAAAGTCTTAGTTAGCTGAATTCCCTCATGTGCCCCTGCACTGCTTGCCCCTGCTCCCCACGCAAACCAGCATCCCAAGGAGGAAGACTCCGTTGTCACTAAAAATGTTCTGTTTCCATGGTGATAGGAGCTGACATCACCAGAACTTTCTCCTCTCTCATTCACTCCCTCCCCCAATCACCTTCAACACAATTTTTTCAGAAAGGATTAGAAAAAACCCAAAACAGTCTTAAGTCAATGCTCTCCTTCATTTTTCCCCTTGGAGCTCCTAAAACTGAGCAAGGTAATTTGGATTGAAGAATGCTGATGCCTTGTGTGCACAAGCAACCTGGGCTGCAAATTCAGGTTGCCCATGCTCCAGTTCCCAACTTCTCACTGGTGACGGGAGGTTGCAAGTTCCCAGACATTTCAAGCAGACTGTGCTCGTCACCAGCTGTCCTGGTGGGAGTCCCTCTTCCCTTGCGTTTGTGATTAGGTCTTGTCTGTCATCATTTGTTTCTCACAGTGATGGGTGCATTTGGAGAGCTTGATCTGAGGCAACTTCAGAGGGCACCTTCCTGAAGTTGAGACCTTACTATGTTTTGAAATTTGAGATAATGCAAACGCTAATCATGTTGGAAATGTCAGCCAGTGTCTATACATGCATAAATTTAGGAGGGGTCACTTATTTCTGGGCTAGCACTCATCAACTTTTTAAGCCAGGCAGTTCTCTAACAAAAAGAGTGAACAATTCTCCTGCTGACTCTACTCTCTGAGGCAGTTATGTTCACATGTGGTTGGAGATGATGCCACTGTCCTTCTGGGGAGATGTCCCTTTACATGACTCTGTCCTGAGGATCCCCATATGAGAAGTGTTCATGCAACCTGCCTGGCATTGAGGGCGCTAATTCCACTGAGAGTGGTTGTTCTGCCTCTCCTGAGCCAAGTGCTGTAATTAGTGATCTGTGGTGGGGGTTATGTCTCTCTCTGCCCTCTTCTGCGGCATCCCCATGACATGTTCTGGTATGCAGTTTACTTGTGTAAATAGGTAGGTAGGTTAAGGAGAAGGCTTCACTATGTGGCTGGGGGAATGATTGTGATTACAAGTGTGTGCCCGAAATCTGTCCAAAATCTTTCCTTGACTATTTGCTACTCCGAGTCCAATGGCTGAGAAGAGGCTGGTCTGTCCTTCAGAGAATGCCCTGTCTTTGCCTGTCTCCATTATCACCCTAGAGCTTGCCACGTATATCTAATAAGCTGTAGTCAAATCCCATCCTCACCTTGCCTTTGGTGAGAGGACTGGCATGAACTGTATACTTTGGCATTTTGAGGTGTACCTGCATGGTTTTTTAACAGTTTTTAAAAGTGGTGGACATGAGAACAAGACACAGTACTTGGCATAGCTGCTTCAGTGCTTTCAGTGGTAATACTGTCTCTCTATTCCAGCCTGAAATTTTGTAGTTCCTACAGCCAAGCATTGCAGTAGCCCATCTAATCAACCACAGCATCTCCCTCTCAATTCATTCAACTGCTTTCTCCATTGGCTACATGTTTGGTTGGTTGTTTTTTTTTTTTTTTCCCTCTCAGTCTCCTCCTCTGAAGCATGAAAATACCTTCCTATTAGTAGGAACAGCAAACTTTGTTCCCAGATATATGTTGTTCCATTTGTTCACACTGGAATGAATATTATTTGCATT